GCAGCAGGCGCGGCGCCGCGGGCCCGGCGCCCTCGCCCAGCGCGCGGCGCAGCTCCTGCAGCGAGCTACCCAGCAGCAGGATATAGTTGCGGGCGAGCAGCAGCGTGGCGATCTTGGAAAGCTTGCGGCCAGGCGCGCCCTGGCAGTGCGCCGCCGAGTAGGGCAGGATGACCTCGCGCAGCGCGTCCATGGCCAGGTTCAGGTCCTGCATGCGCTTCCGCTCGCGGCTGTTGATCTTGCGCCGCAGCTGCTGTTGCTGCTCCTCTTTGGCGTCCGCCCGGGAGCCGCCGCCCGCGTGCGCGCCGGGCCCCGTTCCGCTACCCAGCTGCTCGGCCGGCGCCTCCGGCTTCTCGCGCGCCGCCTTGGGGAGGACGGGGGCCGTCGTGGAGGAGGAGGACGTGGAAGAGGAGGAGGAGGAGGAGGAGGAAGGCGGCTGCCGGTAGCCCACCAGCTCGTACAGGGAGGCCCCGAGCTGCACGTCTCCGGGCCGCTGTGGCCGCAGCATGGTCGCGGGGGCCGCGTTCACGCGCGCCTGGGAAAGCGCATAGTACATCTGGGGGGCGGTGGGGGCGGCCGAGGGCGCCCTTCAGTAACGCCCCGGGGTGGGCCCTGCGGCAGGCCGCCCCTCCCCGCGGGCCTGCGCGCGGGGAGTCGATGGCGGGGCTGCGGGCCGCTTCCGACCCCTTTAAACCGGCTTGGGAACCTGCGGGGCCGCGGGTCGCTGGGCGCAGCCAATGGGGGCGCGAGGCCGGGTCCAGGCGCGCGCTCATTGGCCGCCCCGCCTCGGGCCGGCGCCGAGGTGCCGCGAGCCCGGCCCTGGAAGGTTACTGCGAGCGCCAGTGAGGGAGTCACAGGACAGGACCCCAGAGCGGCGGGAAGGGACCGCCCCTTTCCGGGTGAAATGCGGTGGCGCCCGGAGAACGGGTTGCACTGGTGAGGCCAAAAGTCGTGTGCCTGCCCCCTCCTCCTCCCTGCCTCTACTTTATTGTGCATATTCGTTTTATTTAATTGCAGTCCTGTATGAACACAACGCTACCTTAACCATGGTAACGTACACATAGTGTTGAGTCCGGTCCCATTGTCGGGCACCCAGGCACAGAGCTCTTCATCTTGCAAAACTTGAACCCGGTGCTCCTTAGGCAGCGAGTCCCTACCCACCAGTCTGCAACCTTGGCAACCACCCTCCTTCTGTCTGGGCATTTGACCACTCTAGGTACCTCATTTAAGTGCAATCCTGAAGTATTTGTCTTTTAGTGACTGGCTTGTTTTATTTAGTACAATGCCCTCAAGGTTCACCCATGTTGCAGCACGTGTTCGAATTTGCTTCCCTTTTAAAGGCTAAGTGATGGTCGTGTGTGTGTGTGTGTGTGTGTGCCATACTTTGTTTACCCATTTCTCCATGGAGGGACGGAGGCGTTGCTCCCACCTTTTGGCTTTTGTGAATAATGCTGCCGCGAACATGGGTGGAACGTGTTTTTGTGGTTTTTGTGGGTTTTGTTTGTTTGTTTTTGTTTTGTTCTTTGTTTTAAATGAGTGATTTCCTGCCAGCTCTTGAGGACTAAATTTCTGGGCTCAAGGACTAGAAGAATCAGAATGGCTGCAACTGGGGTCTCTGTCTCCCCGCCCTCGGATGGACAGATCTTTAAGGGATTTAGGAGCTTTGGGGGTCATCTTTCTTTCCTCCCCGAAAGGGACATGTATTCATCCTATCCGTGACTCCTCTCTCTAAGCCTCACTCTTGTTTAAGCAAAAACACAGAAATCAGCCTCTTATCAGAAACAAACATCCACCCACACACTCGTATCTGTTGAGGGTGGGACTATATCTTCCTCTTCCCGGAATAGCACTACTTGGTGGCTATGGATATGACTGCAGCCTTTCGTCATAGTCTGGGGAAGAGGGCCTTGGTATCTAAACCTCTGTCATCTGCTTAGCCCCTGTGGCCATGAAAATCTAAAGTAAAACCAAGGTAGCATGGCTTCCAGCATCTGGTAGTTCCAGGTGGCTAGAAGCCATCTATAGGACAGCACAGGCAGAAAACATGACCTCCATCACAGGAAGTCCTGTTGGACGATGCAATGTCAAGGGACCAGAAAGAAAATGGGCTCGTCCACCTTGATCCTCTTTGGGGCGAGAAGAGGGACGTCTGTCACCATGGGGACTATTTGCCTGGGCTTGCTGGTTTCCGGGCTGTTCGCATTTTCTTCCACCAACATTTGCTCCATAGGCTCACCCTGATTTCTGCTTCCGACCCCCCAGCTCCTGCTCTGCCTGTGATATCGTGTCCATGGATCGGTTCAACCCCAATATGACTTTCTTCTTGAAGCCTTGATGATTTCTCATGTTTCCCCCCCCTCTCATCATGCTTTGACAAACCATCGATAGCGTTTCCCTTGACCTAGGTTGTTAGGTGGAGATCATCTCTGCATTTGGGTGTGATTGTTTGGGGGGTGGGGACCGCCTATTCTCTTCCGTATCCTTCCAAAGTCCAGCCCAGTGCTTTGCCACTACTGTGTGTCCAGGGGGGCATCTAGGGATTGGTCTGAAATCTCTCCAGCTCACAGGCTGTCCCTTGAGATGTTCAGACTCCCAGCATGCTTTGATCCAAGAGTTTCCTGTGGGTTTCACAGCGAGGGAAGGAACCTGGTAGGAGCCCCTGACCCTCAGGAGGCCTTGACTTGACAAAATGTTGCAGAGGTCGCTTGGGAAGAGAGACGGGGGCCTGGGCAGGAAGGAGAGAGACCAAACAAGTCACCTCACAATTTCCAGGCAGGTTAGTTCAGCAGCTCACTAATCATTTGAAAATCATTCTGCTTTTCGAAGCATTTTTATAGACACCTGATGATTCTCGCAGGAGCCCTGTGAGCTGGGCATTTTTAAAAAACATCCCTGCTGTAGGGGCGCCTGGGTGGCTCAGTCGGTTGAGTGACCAACTTCGGCTCAGGTCGAGATCTCACAGTTTGTGAGTTCGAGCCCCGTGTCGGGCTCTGTGCTGACAGCTCAGAGCCCGGAGCCTGCTTCGGATTCTGTGTCTCCCTCTCTCTCCAACCGACCCCCCCCCCCCACTCATGCTCTGTCTCTCTCTGTCTCAGAAATAAATAAACGTTAAAAAAAAATTTTTTTTTTTTAAATCCCCGCCGTAGATGGTGTAACTGAGGCTCCCGGGGGGTAGTGGGTGTGTGGGGTTGACAGCGTGCCTTCAGACAAGAGAGGCAGAGCTGCACCATTAGTGGCTGGCTTCTAGAATTCCCTCCAGCTGGATCAGGCTTCCAGCAAGCCAAGAGGAGGCCATGATGGGGAGGGTTGGCGACTGGGGTAAAGGATGGAGGGCCAAGCCTGGGCCAAGCCAGTATTGACGAGTTGATGGATTCCAGCCAAGCCTCAGGAGAGAGGGCCTGCGGGATCATGAACCCTGACCAGCCCCCTCTGGCAGTGCTCATCTTCACCCTGAGGACCCCCTCTTTCCTGCAGCTGAGGTACCATCCTGGCACGTTCCTCCTCCGTCCACATGCTAGGCAGGGGCTCTCGGGCTTTCCCCTGCCAGCAGGAAGAGGAAGTGAATGAGAATGGGAGATCTAAAGCCTGGGATAGAGTGGCCCATACAGCACCCTATACATTTCCCTTCCAGAGGCAAGGGCACCCCGGGAATCAAAGAGCTGGAAACACGCATGCCGCCCTCCCCCGCAGAGGGCCTCTCTTTACTGGGGGTGTCCCTGGGGGCTTCCTTGAGCTCTTGACCTCACCGCCTTGCTGTCTTGGGAAGGAGAAGTCCCGTTCCCTGGCCAAGGACACCGTCAGTCGGACATGCTGGTCAGTGAAGTGCTCTCCAGAGAGCCCGACAAGAGAGCTCTGGGTGGCCGTGCGGGCCCAGCATGGGCACAGGATTTGGCGCTTGTTGAAACTGGTGACTTGGATGGCCCCTTCTGCTGGACCGGAGCTCCAGTGGCATGCAAAGTGTGACAGCTGGCAAGGGCCAGCGAGTCATTATAGCTCCTGGCAGGGGCCCCGAGGGCCGTCTCGAGGGGAGGCAGCTGCTGTGGCCTCCCACATTCAGGACATACTTGGGGAACAACTTGCGTCCACCATAACAACCACTCTTGTCCTTGCCTAAAGGGGCCTTGTGTGTGTTTGTGTCGGTGACTCCTTTCGCCCCCAGGGAGGTGTGTGTGTCGGGCTTCCTTTTCCTTGCGCAGAAACCTAAAAGGTCTCCCGCCCGTCCTCTAAGCCCGCTGGCCACCCCCGCTCTGGATCAAGAAGCTCGAGCGTTTGGCATGGCAGACAGTGGGGACCCGGAGCCCCGGGGAGTGTGTGTGAAGGGAAACGTGTGTTTGGGATATAGCACCATCCACCTCCTCCGTAAACACAGACTGTGCCTCTGCGAGGCCTGCCCCCCACTCAGAGCCCCCTGTCGTCCCCGGGGAGACCGTCCTCTCGGAGAAGGTCAGCTGAGCGCAAAAGGTTTGTCTTTGCTGCAATGTGCCGTTTACACTGGCTGGAGCTTGGGCCTGCGATCCAACCAGAGGGCTCGCTTCTTAAAGTGCTACCGTCTTCAAAGACGGGCAAAATTCTTCGGAAAGTTGAGGTTTCAAGCGAGTTGTTGAAATGCACACGGTCACGATGAGACCGCTGAAGGCACCGTGTAGCGGGTTTCATCCCAACACAACTGTGCCGGGAACGTGGAAGACAGGGCCTGGGGGGGGGGGGGGTGGTGTGTGGCGGGGGTTGCTGCGGGGAGAGGGGCCCTCAGCTCCTTTCTGGGTGGAAGAGAGCAATGGTAGAGAACACGGGCGGGAGCAGGTGGATCACCCTCCGGTGAGTGTTCCCCTGCGGACCATCTTGGCAGAATTTGTGTTACACTTAGACACGGTTCAGGTCAAATAAAGATTCCTGCCGGGAAAGAAAATTGGAAAAGATAGGAATTTTGTTCATTTTCCAAAGGGAGCGCCGGTTGATCGAGTTGTTACGAGCTAACAAGATGCTCATAGTGACCTACCGTGTCATTGTCACAGTTACCCTCCCTTCCGGCGTGGAAGCACGTAGGCGGTAGGACAGTGTTCTCTGTTCTGGTTAAAATGCCACCTGTGATCACTGGGTAGTGTGTGTGTGTTTCACAAATATTATAGGAACATCTATTTTATTTTATTTAAAAGTTTTGTTAACATTTATGCATTTTTGAGAGAGGGAGAGGGACAGAGAGAGAGGCACACACACACACAGAATCGGAAGCAGGCTCCAGGCTCCGAGGTGGCAGCACAGAGCCCGACGCGGGGCTCAAACCCACGAACCGCGAGATCGTGACCTGAGCCAAAGTCGGACGCTTAACTGACTGAGCCACCCAGGCGCCCCAGTGTTTATTTTTGAGAGAGAGAGAGAGAGTGCAAGGTTGGGGGGGGGCAGAGAGAGAGAGGGAGACAGGATCCAAAGCAGGCTTCCTGCTGACGGCGGAGAGCCCGATGCGGAGCTCGAACCCACGAACCACGAGATCATGACCCGAGCCAATGTCGGACACTCAACCGACTAAGCCATCGAGACCCCCCCAAGCTCATTTATTTTTAATAAATGTCATTTGAAGGCCCGATTTTATTTATTTATTTTTTTTTAATTTTTTTTTTTTCAACGTTTATTTATTTTTGGGACAGAGAGAGACAGAGCATGAACGGGGGAGGGGCAGA